TTAAAAAAAAACATAAAAAAAAAAAAAAAAAAAAAAAAGTAAAACAAATATCAAAAAATAAAACAAATAAACGAATATATACAAGTAAACCACAAATGAAAACAAATTTTACACTGTCTAAACTTGTCAACGACAAGTAATTTTTTGACACTTGTGGGAGTAAAAAAAAAAAAAGTATGAGAAACCACACAATAACTCGGTCTGAACAAATGTTTTATCAGACAGCTACAGTATGTGTTGAAGGATTTTTGACCAATGAGATTCTGCTGTGGGACCGGTTACCCAGAATACCCTACAAAATACATCAAGTAACTGGCTAAATGCCTTATCAATCACGGTTGAAGCTTCTTAGGACAAACCTCAAATTAAGATTGAAGAGATAGCTTAACTTTTGTTGGTTTATCACGTAATGACCGGTTAGGACATGAGTCAAAATGATCAATTTTATTAACTGTCCAACTGAAACTCACCAAAACAAACTCCTCATAAAAACTTTTTCTTGCCCAATAAACTTACTAAATAATATAAAGATGTGTCAGTATCTTCAGCAGGAAATGAACTGTTCCTTTCCTAGGAAGACGACATTGAATAGATCATTCATGCCATATCATTGTGGTCTCTTCTGGAGGTCACAGGCCACCGGAGGCGCTTTGATGTGGTGTGAGAGTTTGCACTGCTACTCGCATCTTACAGGAGCAGCCATACCAGAAACTACTCACAAAACCTGAAGCCCGAGGTGCTCATTATAAAACAACATGGCAAGCTCTGAGACTACAGATAGAATCGGTCTGGTGTGGATGACTGTGTACTCTTTCTGAGAAATGACGGCCTCCATTTGTCCCGAGGACAATGTTTTTTCATGGAAACTATATCTGCGTGAAACTTTAATCTCTGAATGAGGTTAAAGTACACGTCATACACACAGCGACACCGTGAGACCTGAGATTATGAAGCACAAGTGCAGACCAGTAGAGCCGTGGGTTAAACGTTCTGTCCTGGAGTGTTGTACTCTGCGTCTAACAGCGTGTATGATTACTGTTATCTGTGACAGCTGAGACAGACCACAGCAAACATCAGCTCAGCAGTGTGATAACATCTTTAGAAGAGAGTAGTAACAATCTCACTTAAATAATATTAGTTTCATTTTGTTTGAGTGATTTCGAACTTTAAAATTATCAACATATGATAGGAAAAGGCTTACAGCTGTCCCCGATTCGACTTCTATCAACTATTCAACTATTTCTGCTTACACATTTCTGCCGACATGACAATTTCCTTCCTCTTTTAATAGTTTTACTTGAGGACTTTGTGGGATCCTATGATTTTACAGTCGTCTTATCAGTTTTTCCTGTTCCTTCATCAGCCGATTTGGATTTCAAATCCATACGAAAGAAACACTTGCTCCATAAGATCTCCAAGCAAATTCTGTAAACCAAGAGCTTAAAATGTCCACTGATGACAATATATTGAGTCCTCTAGTTCTTCCTGTCTCCATAACCACTCACACATCTCAGAACAAACATCTGTTTCAACAGCAATACTCTTCCTGGGAAACAGTAAAGTCTGGTTTCACGTCTCATCGACACATCTTAGAAGTTCTTAAACATTGTACTTGTCATTTTATAGTTTACTGCAAATTGCTTTATGTTGATGTGTCATTACATTTCTCTTATAAAGTTCATTGATGTGGCTGAAACTTTGATGTGGTTTTGTTTTTGTTTGCTGTATAATTTACATAGTGTCTATCTATTGTGAGGGAAAACAGTGAGTGAACTACAAGAAGATCTAAGAACTGTTAACCATTTCCTCTTCAAAAGACCCGCCACACCAACACAAACAGCACACCCTCAGTCCCCTCAGCGCTCCAGACGTCATCACAGGGCCCAACGCCAGGCCTGAAAAACATACGGCGCCCTGATGCTCACACCTAAACATCTCTAGATCGACTCCCAAAACCTTTCAGCATGTGTGCGAGGGCACGGACAGATCCCTCACACCTGTGTGGTGATACATTTAAGGCCAAGCTTACACTTGTTGGTGAAACAAAACACCTGTGAGAGAGGAAATGGTAGAGGGGGTCCTGCTTAATAATAATTTAAGAAAGAATTCAACAGGATTTCGCTGTCATACTAAACTGCTTTGAGTTCATCTGGCCGAGCGCTGTAGATTCCTGTTAAAGTGATTGTGAAATAAGAAACCGTTTCAGAAAGCATCTGTGAAAACCTTTAAAAAAGTGAAATGGTTTAGATATTTAATAAGATGCAAATTTTAATGATTTTTTGTGAATATGATTAATGATATCATGCGAATATGAAAATAATATACACAATACTACAATACAAAAAATTGACTTTTCCCCCTGTACAGCAGTTAATATTTCTGCTGTAAATGGCATGTACAATGAAAAGAACAGTTATTGGTCCCCTACATGTCAGCCAGATGATCTTTTCCTGTCCAAGTAGGCAGTAGACCAGACTTATGCTGAATACTTATAGTCACAAATCTGGCTTTGTGAGTCTAGAAAAACATTACATTTACTGACAAGCCTATAAAAACTAGTGAATGAAATGACTAAACCAGAGGAGAATATTTATGGATCTATCTCTGATTACTGAGGCACGTGGGCTGCTTGTTTAAGTTGGCATGTGTGTGCAGCCCGTGTGTCACAGTTGGCACGTAGACAACAGGAGAATTGTCCTAGATAAACCGCTACACACTATACCTACAGCTTCTTGTCAAGACCACCCAAACTCCGGTTCATCATAACGCCCTTAAAATTTTTACAATCCTTAAATAAGATCAGACAAAAAATAAAAAATAAAAATAAGGGTCAAATCAAGAGCAAAAGCGAGAGAGAGCAGAAAAAAGGGAGCCACTGTTGAAAACCTCCGGTTGGACTCAGAGCGGTCTGTATACTATATTCACAATCGTGCTTTCATGCAACCGGTGGGCCGGGTCTGGTCTGGCCGGAGCAGCGTGCAGAGGAATAATTTAAGATAGAAGTAAAACCAGAGCTGGAAAAAGAAGTCAGTCACACTGCACTGACTATATGGCCGAAGGTCATCTGACCCTGTGTTACACATTCACTGGACTTCACCTTTCCATGAATGCCTCTCACTGTTACATAATGCAATCAGTTTTTGAACACAAAATAATGTTTAATTTACATAATACATAGGATACTACTTAAAAAACCATTGTGCACTAATAGCAAGCATCACTATTACTATTTATTCTATTCTTTGTATTCAATTCTCAAATGGTGTGGCTAGGGTTAGGGTTAGGAGAAGAGGTGTGCTATTCTCTCACTAAGCACCTGCATTTATAATTTTCACTTGGTGGACAAAATGATGGAAAATCCATTAGACTTAACATTGAAAAGGGACCCAAAGCCATACAGACCAGAATATCATAGAAGCCATATCTTTACAAAACTAGTCCACTAATACTGTGAGCAGTGAGTGAATTTGGACACGGAGCACATTTAGATGCACACATCATACTAATAATTACAGAAAGCTGATTTACTTTTATTTAAATAAATACATTGCATGTATTTGCATTACATGCAAACCAATTACCCAACAACGCAAGAAAAACAGATTTTTTTTAAACCAGTCT